CATCATACAAAATGTAATCAAATGGAAAAGTCTCTTTTTAAAACTTGTTTTATTAGTTTTAATCTTTTAACTTTATGCATCAAGCAAAAAAATAATTAATTAGAGTTCATGAATATCAAAGGAGAAGAAAATGTTTTTTTTGATTCTATTCAGCTTTTTTAAAAAACATTTTATTTCTCTTCTTATCATCCTGGGATTCTGCAAATGTACTGACCTTGTAACTCTTGCAGCATTAATCATAATGTGAAGTACTGATGTTGACGTTCTTTCCATTGAAACATGATAATGTTAAACTGGAGGATGAATAAAACTGATCTAATGAGCATAGCCTAAAGCTGCAACTTACCTTTCCCTCTAATCCGAGTCCAAATAACAAACACATCAGACTGTGCTGTGCTTAAAGAGAAGTTTTGCTGCCCCTGAGAACTGCCCGCTTTAATATTAACATCAGTCTTGAGCTGGAGGAACGAGCAGCAGTTACTTTAATCTGTGTTTTCTCTTCCTCGCTGCTCTAGAAGGCACCAGTGAGCTGTGCCATCATTTAATTAAAAGTTAGACAGTGGAGGATGCTGTAGTGATGGCCTCATTTCATGGAAGGAAGTAAGCAAACTTTCAAGCTTGCTGCTGCCAGAAAACACCCAGATCCGTGCTGTATGCCATGCTACATCTTGAAAAAGGCAGATCTGTGTTTCACCTTTGCCTGGTGTCACATGTTCCTGCCAAGACCTGATTCCCACGAGAGCCCTTATGATGCACAACAAGAATCTGGCTTTTTAAACATGCTGTTGCCCTCTGACTGTGCTAAGGCTGGTCAGGAGGTCCACAGTACATGCTAGCATACTCAAAAGCTGAAGACGTAGCTGCTCTTGCTCTTGCTCGGAGCTTTCACGCCCAATAATACATTAAGGCCCAGAGGGAATGACAGACCCTGTGCTGGTGTTCCTCATGCTGCAGCTGAAACCCCCCCACCCAGCTCCCCGTATCGATTTTTGGAACGACCGACTTGGCCGCCCCCTTCATGCTCCAGCAGCCATCCACTGCAGCAACACTAACAATTACACAATAATTACCTCCCCTGCTGCTCCCGCAGAGCAGCACAGGGCGACTTCTATGTGCTGCACAATTAGCTTTTTAACCTCTGATCCCTGTTTTCTTTGCAGTATAACAAGTTAAAACCACATTGTGCATGACTTCATGATATGATGACCTCTCTTTCCGTACATTTTTGTAAGTTGGACCAGAACTGATCTCTAAATAGTATCAAGTCAGCTAACAATGACCGTAATACATTTCAAGGGAAGGGAACTTTTAAAGTAGCGCTGGGGACAATACATACTGTGGACCAGTGCTCTGTTCAAACAGCAATAGCTGATGTGACAGAGAAATGACTTCTAAAGAGACGTGTGAACCTCTGTTTTTACCCAGTGCAGCTGCAGGTAAGTACTTGTTTTGTGCTTGACAGGCTGTCAGCAGATGAAGCCCCATATTCGCCTTTACACTGTGAGTTTAATTTGATATCGTAAGTGCTGACAACACAGGCTTCAGAGGTCCATCAATCATACATTCAGCATATTGCTAACACCCAAATATACAAACATAAACAAGCGTGTGTGACATTTGAGTAAGCAGACAGCCAGCTGTGCAAAATCTGCCTAAAACGGACTTTATGACGCTGCAGCTGTAACAAAAGCGATTTCCGGATTGAAGCCAATTAAGGCAAACCTATATAAGGCTGCATACGCGTGCAAACGTCAACTAAGAAGCATAAGAACATAAAAGGATATCATCTTCCTTCCCTTTGCATCCTCACTCTCTATCAGCCTGTCAGATCACAGCAGCTAACAGCAGCATCTCCTGTGCAGGTTGTGTAAGAGGGCACGCCCACCATGTGTCACCGCAACACCTACAGACGAGAGCGCAGAGACTTGCACCGTCTAATCACGCCTCCGCTCAAGCAGTTACCGGGACACGAGAGAAATATGCCTCACTCAACCCATTCACCTGGCCTAGATACTGTCAACAAACATTATGCAACGCCGATAAGTGCAGCAACTAATGACACGGATAAATTATTGAAAGTTGTGGGAGTGCATTGAACAGTTACAAAATAGATGTAGTCGAGCTCCTTTTATCATAATGCTTGGTTTTTTCTTAAACTGGTGCAACACCGGCGATCATAGCCATGTTAGCTTTGGTTAACATGGCTATGATCATATTATATTGGTGCTATATCAATAAAACTGAATTTAATTTACAGAAATTTAAAACTAGCAGGACATAAGCAATTTTTATGCATCAGCATCTATTTTGCTTCTGTTGCTTTGTCAGATCTTTTCTTTAGGTGCAACATCTCTACAGATTCTTTGATTTATTAGTATAATATATTAGAGTTTCATCACTTTTTTCCCCATAGACTTTTTATTTGGGTTCTTAAGGTATTTTATACACATTTTAGAGGCAACATTTAAACAGCATGTACAGGATCATCAGTCTGGTAGGTCTAAAACCCACATGGCTTTATTTTGTCTACTCTATTGGGGAGTAGACAAAATATTACTATGTCTGTTGGCATCTATTGGTGAGATACTGTTTTATGATCTACACTAAAATTAAAATTAGTGTGTTGTTGTCTGAGTGGTAACATTCGCTATCTCCACTTCCCCTCAGAGACCGGGTACACAAAGCACGAATGCACGGTCGGGGGCCACATCCCATTCAGCTCAGCACGTCCTATCCCATCAGCACCGGCAGCAGTCACGGATTACTAGGCGCACTGAGGCTCAAATCCCATCAGGAGGAGGGAAAGCATCTGTGAGCCGGGAGGAGCCGAGTGTGTGGTAGACTGAAAAGTCAGCACGAGTTCACTAAAAGTCTCTGTTGGCGTTTCGAATTTTGACACTGCTGAAATAAAGATGGAGTGAATTATGTGAAACAGACATTTTGACCAGAAGCTGACTGGCAGGTTGTCTGCGCCACATGCTGGTGCGAAGCCAGCCGGATCACATTCTTTTGCACTGGCATTTGTAGCCATGCTGCCGTGCATTTTTTAAAAGAGGTCCTGCAGATACGGACACTGGTGATCCATAGACATCTGCTTATTTCTTTATTGATCCACTGAAGACGCTGCACACATTTACATTGACCGACACACACGCTCACACACTGACCTGCATCTCCTTGTCCCCATATTTGGACGGGTGCTTGCTGCCCTGGCTCTTCCGGCGCAGTTTCTTTAGCTCAGCCTGGCACTTCTCCAAACTCTCCCCTTTGCTCTTGTGCTCCATCTGGTACTTCTTCAGTGCAGCCTGGGGGGGAAGGGGGGCAGCACAAAGTCAGCAGGGGCACAGCAGTGCTGCTCGCACGTGTCAGCATCAGCAGATGATGTATCACACTGACAGAGGCAGACATTTATTAGACGAGTGGTCAGCTTCTGCATCACTGAGACAGGAGACTGAAGGAGGTTTCTTATTTCTCCTCCTCACTCCCAATATTTTGTTTCCTGATCGGATGTTTTTCTTTTCTTTGTGTATCACATGTATGTATCACAACAGCATGTGCATGTCAATAGTATGCATTATATAACATGTTCCTAACAACTTAAAGGAACATGCAAATCAAATTAAAGCATTCATTTGAAAACATATTTGAGTGACATTCATCCAAAAGCCCTGCAAGAGTGCTTATAAATTCTTTGTTTAGCATTACATAATGCTCTGGGGGCTGATTCCAAACACAGATCACCCCAAATAAATTCCTCCACTTAATTTTGGTCTTTTTGTGCAAAACTCCTCAGTTTTTCTCACTATTCACGGGACAGAATAGGATGTGATTTATGTAACTTGCTGCAGTGGTTTGGAGGAAAGCCGGCGGAAAATTAAGGAGTGCATTTTGACTCCGAGCCAGTGATTTTATGAGAATGTGGTTCATACTGTATTCCACATAAATTCACTGCCATGAGAGGTCCAACAGGATGTTTTATTCAAGCTCGTGGTGGGGCAGGTGTCCTGTTACATAATGAATCTGAATATTATGCCATCAGAATCTCCTCAAGCAGTAATTCTTATCACAAGTGGTTTTCATAAAATTCATGCAATTAAGCCGGGATCTTTTTTTCCTTAAAATGAAACATGAAGAAGTACCCAACGAATGTCCATGAAATGCTTCAGGAAAGCACAAGGTAGAAGTAACTAAACGGTATGGTTGTCTATGAACGTCTACAACATTTTAGAGATGAATGAAATTGACTGAATCAAGTAAAGGCTAGCTAGTGTCCATCAGTTAGTCTTCTTTTAGCGCTGCTTTGTTTCTCCAGGTGGTTTCTAAACCAGTCTGCAGCTTTGAAAAATACTTGTTGTGTGCTGTTGGAATCAAAGTGACGAGTTTGAACTAAACAGCAACAGTGTAGCTAAACCAAAACAATAAGCTAGAAGAGGCTGAAAGGCCCATTAGAGCGGCACAGTTCAGTGACGTGTGAAGAAGGGAATCTCACATTCAGGTATCGCGCGTCCAGCTCGACCTTCTTCTCCAGCTCTGTGAGCAGCTCGTTGTGGAACGACTTCAACTGCAAGACACAGAGAAGCCTCAAACACAATGCAAGAAACAACAAAATGCACTGAAACCTCAAGCAGTCACGTGATCAACCACAGCGGATTATTTTTAAAACAGGAATGTCCCTCATGAGTTAGTGTTGGTGCAGAGGAACGCCTTGAAGTGGGAGACTTTTCCAGTTACAATGCAAATAAAGGAGGGTGTCTGGCAGCGTGCACCGAGTTTGCTGCCTTTGTGCACGTATAAGCTGAGAGAACACAGGACAGTATAGACTGGATTCTGCACATAATATACTGTGACCTTCCTTCTCTCCTTTGGATATGTTCATATAAAAGTTCTATTTAACTTGCTGAGAATCAGCAGTTTGCATAAAAATGTAATATTTGCTCAGTTTCTAATCTGCATCTTGTACCACTGCACAAATAAATATCATTATTACCTTGAATCTTTGACACCTATTATCCAAAAGATCAAGGATTCCAGTTTCAAAATACCCTTTAACACAATTTGCATAAACACTAAAGACAGGATGTTCCTCGCTGTTTCTTTTTGTTGACTGAGCGTTTCCTTCTAATGTTGCCACAATTGGCCAATTTACTCTTTGCTGGATTCAAATAAAGACCTTTTGGAGAAGTGAAATGAGAATGTTTTCAGTCTGTAATGACTGTAATTTACATATCAGAGTATCAGTAAACAAACCAAGAAACTGGAATTACAGTAGAAGCTACTGGTGTACAGTAGGGAGTGTCTTGCTGGGTATTAAATGTTAACATATATCGTGCGACTCCAAAGCAACAAGCCCACAATCCGTCTGGCTCGAGGCTTAAGAACTGCTGATTTTAGCAACACCACCACATGCTCACCATCTCCTCAAGCTGGATCTGGATCTGTCTGTGCACTTCAGCCATCTGAAAGAGCACATCCCCTGGAGAGAGAAGACAAAGAGAGACAATAAACAAAAAGAGAGAAGGGAGGGGAGGGAGAGAGGGGAAAAAAGATAGCCATATTAAATCATTCAAACTCTGTGTGAGAGCAACACACATCGTGCAAAAAGAGAGACCATGCAGCTGCGCAAAACAGATGAGAGACAGGTGTACGGTGTCGAGGGGAGAGGACGAGGCAAAGGACAAAATGAGACGAAGCAGACGAAACTCAAAACAGTGACAAAAATTAAAAGTGCACTCGAGAAATATGCGCTAATGAATGGAAAATGAAAAGTAAGAGTGTCAACCAAGAAACCTACTGAAAGTATGTGGATTTCCCTTTTACCAAGAGCTTACAACACTACTGCTAAGAAACACACAGGAACAGCATGGTAAAAGAAAAAATCTTTCGTATTTCATCCTTGCAATAAGACATATGTATTACTACAACATAACAGGGGGAAACACCAAAAAGCAGACCCCAGAAAGAAACCAAAGCTAAAAATAGAGAACGAAACAAAACACAAAAAACTAAGTAGAAAGTAAAGGATGATTCATGCAGCCAGGGAGGTGCGCATTGTTTTAAGATACCTACATGCTGCCTCTTCTGAATACGCAATGCATTGTAAAAAAAACAAAAAACAAAAAAAGGAACAAAAAGATCTAGTTTGAGCAAAGAACAGAGGGATAGAGACCTGAAGAGACAGTGACAGATCAAACTACCCCAGGAAAAATGAGACACACAACAAGATTTCACACAGAAAAACACTCAGACAGGCAGTTAGTCTGACCCTGCCCTCACTTACAAACCATCTACGTGCTCTCCGCATCGCCAGAGCTCAGACGGACGCTGGATTTTTCACGCAGATGTTAAGACTGACTAAAAACTGGGGTATTCATTTGGTCGTGAAATGTATTATTTAAATGTTCGTGTCGGCTTCTTGTTTGTCAAAGAAATACTGTCCAGCGTATGGAAATCAACACACGTAAATAGGGAAAAACTGATATACTGGCAATTTTCATTCATCAATAATTTTGGATTGGCTACATTTTAAAAATTGTGAAATTTACAAATTTATTTTTATCTGAATCCAAGCACCTTTTAAAACATCAGCCCAGATCAGTGCATCCCTATTTGTATGCTTTGTAAATTCTCAAATTTCAATATCTGCCTCAAAAACCCAGCATCAGTGAAGCTCCACAAACAAGGTAATATACTTTAATACTAAAAAGTAATGTACTAGTAACATTATATAGAACCTATAAATGAAAGGAAACCTAATATTCTCACATGCCTTAAGAAAATAATAGTTAATCATCTATAAAAAACAAAACACATCTCATAGAACATCCTGTACATGTACTGCAGTTTCTTATTGCACATCTACCATAATATTTGGAAATACAGTTTTTCCCTTTTCTTAGACAACATAAGGATATAATATTAATAATATAAGACACTAAGTAAACCGCTCTTGGTATCTTATGAAAAAGCCTAAATTAAAGTACATCTTACAGCTGCAGCGGCACCATAAAGCACCCGATTTATTCCAAATGAACCCACTAATATATATTAATGTCACTCATCTGCCTCCTGCATAATGCATGCTGACATTAGATAATGTATGCCGCTGCAGCGCTGGCATGAAGTGAGTCTGAGCGAAGGGTGTACGCGAGTGTGTTGGTAGACCTGTGAACACCGGACAGTGGACAGTCAGAGGGGACACAGAGAGTGGGCTGCCTGGACAGGATTAATGGGCTTAATGGAAGTGCTGTGTTCATGCAGATGAGATAGAGGGGATTTAGGAAAGGTCGGAGCAGGAGGAGGTGGGGACAGAGGTGGAAGGAAAAGAAGTTTATATTTACTTAAGGGGACTGGATTTAAGTCTGCATCCAAGCTTCTGCTAAATAACTTGAGTATTTCAGATAAATGTACAGCAGCTGAGGTCAATATCAGCCTTTTTTCTTGCAGTCATTCTTCTACTTTCTCCTATGCTTCATTTGCAACAGCCTGTCACTGTCAGTATAATAAAGTAATCTTATTAGTCCTACAAAACACACAAAGTAAATGGTTTCTGTTTTCTTGCTAATAGCTATCAGAGCCGTGCAGCACATCCCTCTTCTGTAAATTTGCTGTCACCAGTTTCTCAGTACAAGATTTTAACTTCTGCAAGATGTCATCCTGGTTGCCCTTTAACCTCACACAAAACTCCAATGTCACACACAAAACCTGACTCATGCATGCAGAACAGAAAGCCACACAGGGGAGTTTAGCCCACAGCCCTTCTCATCCAACGCACCAGCTTACTTTAAAGCCTCCTGCTTCCACCCGTCTCCTTATGAAAATGCACCGAAAGGCTATGACGCTGTGGAAGCGTCTGACTGCCGGCGAATAGGGCGCTGGGGCCAGCGAGGCAGATAAATGCACTGATGTGTACTTTCAAAACTCTCCTTTGATTCTTGGAGGACACCCAACGCACATTCCCATCCCATCCATTAATAAACAGCCGCTGGCCATCGACGAGCGACGGCGACCGGGCTGAACTCAAGCACCTCTATCACACACAACTGCACCAATGTTGATTTCAGCCAGAGGGGGGTAGCAGAATACTGAAGAGAGGGCGCAATTAAAGGGGCATTCATTTCTAGAATATAACAAAATATCAGATTCTTGGGGAGGATTGAACTTCCTTGTTATTTCTATTATTCTCATTTCTGGCCATTTTCCTTTATATTTCCCTCTGAGAAAATATTCAGAATTTCTCACCATATATTAGCAGAAAATGTCCAAATAGAGAGAAATGAGTGTGTTAAATCACACAGGTAGCCCTCAGACATTAGTTTCTATACTTCCTCCCTCACTGCCAACAAAACTGCCTCTCAGCTGGTAATAACATGGTAATAAAAACTGGCCTTGGTCATATTTCTGGGTTTTTAAATATGTACCTGCAGGCTAACTTACGCTGTTCTTCATTGTCCCCGAGGAGGAAGACTTCTCTCTCTGATCCTCATCCCCTTGCAAGTCAGAGTTCAGTCTCCACATCAACATACTGAGAGCGTCTCACTTTAACTTTAGAGACATTCACTTCACTTTAAACTTTAGAGCAGCAGATGGTGACTGAAAGGTCGCCCTGCCACCAGCTGCTGAAGCATATAAAAATAAAGAAATCCTCGTTTGAGCTTTTATGCCTCCAAGGGCAGTTCTGACAGCATAACTATCACCACAATGTCTGCAATTTAGTAAGAGACAAGCAGCTGAACAATGAAGCAACGCATAGGTGCCAAAAGCTGCAGTACCTCTAATGACCACTTGAGGCAGGCTCTAAAAGCGAGTCAATCCCCACAGACTGTTACGTTTAAATATTCAACTTTACAGCAGAAATAAGCAAGTTTACAAAAAACTGAACCACACAGCTTGACTACATTTGTGCTGTTAGTGCCTTTATTGGCACTTTTATCAAATTATCTGATAAATACGCTCTACTGAGAGGTAGACCTCCAGTTACGGTGGTGTTCTGGTGTTTTATTTGTCAAGCAGCACAATAATAAACAGCAATACACTATACAGTGCAAAGCCAACAGCAGATCTCAGTATGGCTGCACCGATCTTCTTTAAATAAGTAAAATTTGAAAGGCATCTCCTGATTTGCCAAAGTTCAATACTATTACAGCCAATGGGAACAAGGGTCAAACAATTAAAACCAACTTGTAACTGCAGACAAAAACTGTTAAAGAGCCAACAGGTCTCACAGTGCTGCTCTGTGGCTTTGACCCACAGGCTTTTATCACCTGGAAAATCCCCAAATTCCTGGATGTTCTTGTTTAATTGCACCCATCTAATCCAAAATCTCTCCACCTTGCATTGTGAAATATCGGACTTCTACCCGGCAGAAGTAAGCCGCTTACTGTTAATCAGAGCCGATCACAACATCTGAGGCTTAAAGGGGAGTAAAGCACTCAGCACACGCAGGTCCAGATCAATTAAAGATTAAATACACAATCGCTGCTTTTGTCTGCGAAATGTTCTCACAAACCAAGACTCAAGCGGGCCACGCTCTCACAGTTAGTCGCATTGTCTTCCACCTAGGATGACATTGTTCCTTCATGCTGTTCTTGGAAAAATTAACACAAAAGGACACATCTAGCTAACAAATGAAAACCTAATGCTCAAAAGCAATTAAGTGAGATTCAAAGGTTTACAGCACACGTGAGAAAAACACAACAACTCAACAGCCTCTAAACCCATCATAGCTGGGCTGAGAAATAATGACTCATAAATGCTGAGAAACCAAAAGTGGAGTAAAGTTGATTTTAAAAGAAAAAAAAGCAGCAATCACAGTTCGCTCGACACTCCAATGACTCACCTGCCAAACCACACTCAGTCAGTGGATGTGTGTACAGTAAGAGCAGTTAAGACTGCAGGGTGGGAACAAGCCCATTATTCATTTGGGCAACCAAAGGGCAGCACTAACATGTGGGTTTATTAGCCCAGCTTCTTTTCCATGCAGCTCCTGGGCTTTAAAGAGTGAGAAGGAGGGAGTGAGGCACAGTTAATGGCCATATGAAGGAAAGTGTTTTATGTAGTGTGCATCTCTGCAGGGACTGTATTATAGAAGGCTGAAAGCAAACAAGCAGCTCTAATCCCCAGAAAGCTGCAGTGAAGGGAGTACAAGGTGCTGCGGGGAGATTTGTCCTCCACAATGCCGCATGATTGACACCGTTATTGTTGTGCTCTTCTGGGTCTTTAATTTTGCTAAACACCGGCTGCATCGGGGTGCATATAAACACCCCCGAGAACATGTGCAAATTTCCCCAGAAGCAGTAACAATGCTTGATTTAGCATTCAGATTTTAAGCATCCACTTGACAACAAAGTAACGACAAGTTTTTTTGTTGTACTCGCAGTTAATCAGCATAACATTTGGTGCGTCTGTAGTCCAGCTATAATCCTGCACTCCACCGGCAGTAAAAACCCGAGCTGACATGTTAGAAGCTGTCACTGCGTTTTCATCTTATAAATTACAATAAGGGCACAAATCCCGCTGAAGTGAGTGTAAACATGTCGTCTTAGATCTGGGCTGTTTGACGTCTTCGCTTCTGCAGTTTATCGGAAAGAAAAATGAATCTTTTAAAAGCGCGATCGAGCTACAGGAGATCGATGGGAGTGACTGGCTATACATAATCATTACGTGGTGTAATGACACGAGAATTCATTGACAGCTTCACGCTACAGCTCGGTGACAATAAGTTAATAATGAGCTGACGAGTGCCACTATGTTCGGTTCTGAAATGGATAAACACACAGAAAGAGAAAATCCCACAAGCCTGGGAGGAGACGGGCATCAAGAGCCTAACAACAGCTTCCTGCGCGAAACAACTCGCATGTATGAAAAGTGTCTCAGATCAGAGTCTCTATTATCAGCATCATTAAGTCACCATTTGGCCGACTACCCACATCAAGGACAATGCGACAGCTCAAGGACATTTTATAGTCCAACACATTATTAAAGCCACATTACCATCCCATTAGAGACATTTGCTAAATTAATCACTACACAATCCCTCGCTGATCTCTTTTTTGTCAGTTGACTGACACCCAAAAAGACGT